AGAATCCGGACACTCATGAGTTTTATTTCAATCTGCTTTAAGAATCTATTTACACTGAATTTCTCCTTGTTGCTGATCACTTGCTTCAATCACCAGAAAGAGAACTATGTAATTTTTTGCTCTCCAAATATTTAGAGTTTAGTAAAAAAATGTTATTAGATGTGTCTTCTTAGACAGCATTTCTTTTAACCTTGTTTACTCCCATTCACTGATTCACTAGCTTTTTTAACAAAGCAGTTATGTTTTAATACATAAATTATCTTCAAAAGTATTTCTTAACTCACTGGTCAAATAAACATGCCATTATAACCCATTGTAAATGTATCTCCAAAGTTATTTCAGTTTCATTTCTAAGCAGAGGAAGTTCTGGCTTAGCAAATTTCATAGTTTTTATAAGAAGCAAAATATCTCTTCTGTCAAATAATTGGAAATGTTATTTTGAAATCCATTAATCTCGAATAACAATATGTGCCTAACACAGACAGATATATAGAATGCTTCTGAAATCATACCTTCTTTAGTTCTCTCTTCCGGGCTTCCTTTCCTTAAAAGAGAGAGACAGAGAGAAGATGACTTTCAAATTATCAATGTTAGCTTTCTCCAACTTAATATTCTTCATTGTGGGAGGCTATGCTGTTCACTATATATCATTTAGCAGCACCCTTGTTCTCCACCTCCAATATACCAACAGAATCCTCTCAATCACATCAAGTTTCTTAAATAAAAAAATCTTAAGGAAAAAGATATAGAAAATACTAAGGGCTTGAAAATTTAGGTTAAATTGTTTGAAATTCCTAACCTAAAAAGGCTCAAGCCAGCTGTACTTGTAAGCCAATCAAACCTGAAAATAAAATATGAATTCTATTTGTATGTTTAAAATTTTGTGTGCCCACATACTGTAAAACCTTAAATACTTTATTCTTCCTATCACTGCTGTTCTTGTAATTAAGCCACAATGAAACAGTTTATCTAGTATCTGCAATTTTTAATTCTTCTCTACCTCATCATCCCATACTGATGGACACTTACGGGCTTGGTCTGTGGGGTTCATAAATTTTCCACTCTTGGTGGATGATGTAGATCTTCGTCCCATGTTGACAATCTGTGTGTTTCACTTTTTCATAAAAAAAAAAATACCTGCAAAGACAAAGAAGTAGCTCATTTTTCTTCTATTTATAACATTTTTTCTTTTTCTTTTTTAAAGATATTTATTTATTTGACAGAGTTACAGACAGTGAGAGAGAGAACCTGAGAGAAATGTCTTCCTTCCGTTGGTTCACTCCCCAAATGGCCACCACAGCCAGTGCTGCGCCGATCCGAAGCCAGGAGCTAGGTGCTTCTCCTGGTCTCCCATGCGGGTGCAGGGCCCAAGCACTTGGACCATCTTCCACTGCCCTCCCAGGCCACAGCAGAGAGCTGGACTTGAAGAGGAGCAACCAGGACTAGAACCTGGTGCCCACATGGGATGCCAGTGCCGCAGGCAGTGGAGGATTAACCTACTGTGTCACAGCACCGGTCCCCATTTTTTCCTTTTTAGACTTGATTTTGATAAGAAACACTTCTTTGATTACTTTTGTGAAAGCAGAGTCTTCCTTAGATTTTTTTTTAATGTTTATATTTATTTGAAAGGCAGAGTTACGAGGAGATAAAGAAAGAGAGAGAATCTTCATCAATTGAATCACTCCCAAATGGCTGAGACAGACTGAAGCTAGCAGCCCAGAGCTTCTTCCAGCTCTCACAAGTAGATGCAGGGGACCAAGTACTTGGGCCATCTTTTGCTGCTTTCCCAGAGGCATAAGCAGTGAACTGGATCAGAAGTGGAGCAGCCCGCACTCCAACTGGCGCCCATATGTGATGCTGGTGTCACAGGAGGCTTAAAAAAACGATTTACTTTTTTTTTTTTATTTTTTTGTTTTTTAACAGGCAGAGTGGACAGTGAAAGAGAGACAGAGAGAAAGGTCTTCCTTTGCCGTTGGTTCACCCTCCAATGGCCGCCGCGGCCGGCGCACCGCGCTGATCCGATGGCAGGAGCCAGGAGCCAGGTGCTTTTCCTGGTCTCCCATGGGGTGCAGGGCCCAAGCATCTGGGCCATCCTCCACTGCACTCCCTGGCCACAGCAGAGAGCTGGCCTGGAAGAGGGGCAACCGGGACAGAATCCGGCGCCCCAACTGGGATTAGAACCCGGTGTGCCGGTGCCGCTAGGCGGAGGATTAGCCTAGTGAGCCACGGCGCCGGCAAAAACGATTTACTTTATGAAAGGCAGAGTGACATAGAGATCTTCCTTCTGCTGGTTCACTCTCCAAATTCCCACAACACCTGGGGCTGGGCAAGGTCAAAGTCAAGAGCCAGGAGCTGTTATCTGGTCGTCCCACATGGGTGGCAGGGACCCAAGCACTTGGGCCATCACCTGCTGCCTCCCAGGAGCATTAGGATGAACCCGGATTGGAAGTAGAGGCAGAACTTATTCTAGGCACTTTGACATAGGATGTCAATGATTTTAACACAGGATCTGGTGCATACAAGAAAGATGGCCTTAACTTTCTTGACCATGAAAAATTAGATCTCTGTTACTCATGAGAAATGTAATGGATCTAAGGATCAGTTCGATATTATTTAACTTTTAAGAAAATGGATCCCAGCACTGACTCTGTCAATTGAAAATATCAACTAGAATGAAATTTGAAAAATAAAATACAGACGCTAATTTCATGGCTATGGCACACCTTTGCTATGAGAAGCCACTAGTTCTTGTACATCCTTATTATATTTCCATTTAGGGTGTCTCTATGGTTTTCCTCGCCACATATGTTTTACCAACACCACAAAAACAGCAAAAACTCATTAATTAATTTAGGCATACTTAATCCACATTAAGTTTTGATTTAGACATAGCTATTTAAAGAACTTAAAATATAAGTAAAAGTGTTAACACTAAAAATTAGTATTATACTAGTCCACCCAAAATACCAGTATTTTCAATATTATGTTTTCTTACTAGTGCCTATCTGACTACTGATTTGTATTTTCTAAGGTAACTGAAAGAGACAATTATGCTTGAATGTATTTTGTAAGCCCGGACTTTTATTAACATCACTTTTATTTCAAAGGTTTAACCATGTGAAACAACCTTTCCATTATATAAGTTGAATTTTGCTTCCTTTGGAAAATAAATGCTTTGGAAAGATTGGAAGGAGAAAGCCAGGATGTAATATACAGATAAATACAATTATATCTGCCTTTTATGAAGATTTTGTCAGACCAGTTTATTGGTCAGGGCCTTTTTCACCAAGTGTTCCAACTGCCCGGATTTCTGCTAGATGTTTCAGAATTCTGAAAATTATTTTACCCAGGAAAGTGGGTAAAATACTCCACTGGAGGCGGAGTAGGAGGCAAGAAGGGCAAGAACAAGCAAAATCAGTACAAAGTCTCTCGCCTGCATCTTTTGTGTTCCCCTTTCCCAATTATCCTCAGGGTCTTATTTTTACCCTGCTCTCTCATAACGGAATCACAGGACAAATATCAATTACAGAAAATTTTTACACAAGATAAGGGAGTCTCGGTCTACACAAACTACTTTTTTTTTCTTTTAGCAGAGGTGGTCGGGAAATCACGCCCGAAAAGCCCGGGGGCTCTAAGTAACCAAAGATGCATCAAGGCGGCAGGGTCCAGGTTCGCCAAAAACAGCAACCAGAGCAGCAACTGCCGAAACCATAGCGACGGTTGGTCTGAGCTCTATGCACAAGAAAACGTCAAACCGGAGGCCACCGGTCAGCGTGCACGGGAAGCGGCGCCCACCTACCCGGGGAAGTCAGTCACGTAATCGGGGGACGCCGGGCCACCTTACACCCATGGATTTCCCTAGTCCGCAACCCGGGAGACCCCAACCGCGGAAGAGCGGGGCGAAAGGGCCTGGTGTCCCCGGGAAACCGCGCAGGCTACCGGGAGGGACGGGAGACGGATTAGAGGAGTAAAGCAATCCCGCACACTCACACTTCTGCAGGGCTCCCAGGGCTGCGAGAAGCAGGGAAGGGACGACTGCTGGCCTCTTTTACTTCGGAGGGGCCTTCACCTCTGCCTCTCGGTCAACCACCCAGCCCCCGCCATCTTGAAACCTCGCGCCCCTCCGCCATCCCTACGTCACTTCCTATCTTTCCGGCCGACGATTTCTTAGCGTTGCTGTGTCCTGGAACCATAGAGAGTACCCTAGAACGCCAGGACCAGAGTCGCTTCCGCTCCAGTAGTGACGCGATTGGTCGATTCTTAGCTAAGAGCCCGCCTCCTTACGCAGTACCGAGACTCCCCATGTCGATGGACACTTACCTCCACCAGTAAAAATAAGAAAAAGGAAGCGAGTCTCTGATTAGCTGGCTGTCTCGCTTCTCGTGCCGGAGGCCTTATGACCTCATTTCCGGGATCAGCTCTCATTGAGCCAACGGGTGCCGGTACTTTGGGAACGTGGGGAGGTGTTTTGCGCTGTCGGTTTCCTGGGTTTGTGTTAGTTTTTGAATTTTCACGTTCCTTGTGACGTGAGCGGGTGTCATCCTCTGGGAATGTCTCCGTTTGAAAACGAGTAACACTCAAGTAATGAAACTCGACTTGTCTCCGAGTTTAACGTGCTTTGCAAGCGTCAGGTCATCCCACGTGGACGCCTGGGTGCACCTCGAATTTCAATAGTGGCTCTTACACACGCAGACTGTTTTTAGACCTGAACAACTACAACAGCGCCCGTATTAGAGTCTCAAATGCCGATCCATAGGATTCATTTTCTGAGGAGGAAATGTGGGAATACATATGCAGTTAGAATTCATGAGTGGCTAGGTTGAGGAAAAAATTTTATACATTACATATAAAATACGTATTATGTAATATAATACTTAAAATTATGTGTAGGTATGTGTATAATATATGTGCACACACGCACTCCGTTCCCGACCGGCGTTTTCATCAGCCAGGGGTCCTCTGTGATGTCATCATTGACGCCAGGTTCACTTGCCTCTAGTCTTCACCCTTTCCTTCCCCGCAGTGTCCCCGTCCCCAGGAATTCCTCCCTCAACTTTCCCCCTTAAAGGTAAGTTTAAGTGTTTTAAAAATTTGACTGTTAAAGGACACACTTGGTTATTTCTGGTCTTAATCTGAGTATCCCTTTTGGAAAATCAGCTAGACCGAGGCCAGTTCTTACTGTCTGTTGTAAATATTTTAAAATGTTGTGGGGAGGCATAATAATTTTTAACAAAATGCTTAATGTCCTTAATGATATAAAATGAGGTTCGTACCTACATTTTTTGTTTCAGTAAATTTCTTAAAAAATGATTTTTTTTTTTTTTGAAATAGAGTTACGGAGGGAAGGAGAAACACAGGGAGGTCTTCCATCCTTTGGTTCATTCCCCAGATGGCACCCAAGGAGCCAGCAGCTTCTTCCAGGTCTCCCACATGATGGCAGCGGTCCTCCCATTGCTTGGGCCATCTTCCACTACTTTCCAGGTCATTAGCAGGGAGCTAGACAGGAAGTGGAGCAGCCTGGACTCCATATGGGAAGTTGGTACAACAGGTGGCAGCTTTATCGGCTACGCCACCAAGCAAGCCACTGTTTTAGTAAATTCTTGATTCTTTGATTCTGGAATGAATTTGAGTATCAGAGTAATAACAAGATCTTGTAAGTTATAGCTTATAAACCAGGTAGTAAAACAGAAAAGATTTAATTTTGAAGGTGAAACAAACTATCTTGTAACTAGCTTATAAAAGCAATAATAGAAGAGTAAGACAAAATGAAAGGTATGTTAGAAAAGTCCAAGTCTTTTGCAGCAGGTTTGTGGGTAGACACTGAAAGTCGCAATGGAATGTGTTCCTTGGTGAAAGATTTAGAAAAAAGCATATTCCGGGCCGGTGCTGTGGCAAAGTGGGTTAATGCCCTGGCCTAAAGCATCGGCATCCCATATGGGCGCCGGTTCTAATCCCGGCTGCTCCACTTCTGATCCAGCTCTCTGCTATGGCCTGGGAAAGCAGTAGAAGATGGCCCAAGTCCTTGGGTCCCTGCACCCACGTGGGAAGCCCTGAAGAAGCTCCTGGCTCCTAGCTTCGGATCGGCACAGTTCTGGCCGTTGTGGCCAGTTGGGAAGTGAACCATCAGATGGAAGACCTCTCTCTCTCTGCCTCTCCTTCTCTCTGTGTAACTGTGACTTTCAAGTAAATAAATAAATCTTTAAAAAAAAAAAAAAGCATATGCACCCATAGAGATTCAGCTGAACCATTAGGTTTTCAGAGCCTCTGGATTTTTCTGAAATGAGGTAGTGAAATTGGCCACCAAATGCATCCTTTCTGGTAGTTTGAAATCAGATCATATTCTGTCTTGTAAAAACTTATAGTGTAATAAGGTGTATCTTTCCTTTAAATGACAAGTTTTTGAAGACTAGTAATTTCAGCATCATAAATACATTTCATGCATGTATTACTGAGGTTTACTTGCTTATATTCGAAATATCCCCAGAGTGCTTACACATTCACTTGAGTTTTAATTGAATCATCACAGTTGGTCAGAGTTGATTGAAATTATAGTCTTTATCTTTTAAAAAGTATATCCAGATTACATTGTGTAATTAGTACAAATTTACAGAACCATTGCCACCTTTCATAATCAAAGCAAAGTTACAGACATTTTTCAGTATCTTCCAGGTTACAGAAAATTGTACTTAATTTGGTGGTCAAAAATATGGTAGTATAAAAAATACCACTGGAAGGTTCAGGGTTTGTGTTTAGGCAGAAGTTACTAAAATGTCCCCTTAGAACTAAATGATGCTTGAAACTAGTGGTGGAAAGTCTTTGCATCAGATGTAAATTTTAAGAATTTTGATTAGAAATTAGAAAAGGAATAGGTAACACCTGCTTTGTGATAGTATTCAATCCAATGTTGATTTGGTAGAACAGAATGAGAAAATATTGTGGAATATAATCTTGTACTTCAAAGGACCCAGCTCCAGTTGATCCATTGTTGATAAACACTCAAGAACCATCTAGTTTTATACCTCCAAATCTCCTTTCCAAATTATTTACCCCATTTATATCCATATTGGAAGTAAATGAAAAATAAAGCAAAGAAGCAGACATGCATTATTGAAAAGGTAGTAGAGAAATATCCCAGGGGCAAATAAAATGACAGTTCATTTCATTTGGCGTTTCACTGTGTTGGTGACCTCAGTAATGGCATGATGATATTTTTCTGAGGCTGACTTGAACTCCACCAGATGCTTCTCGTAACTTTTGATAGCTGCTTCAAGCTGTGTTTTCTCCACTGCTCCCAGGATAGCACGGAAGATCATATCTATGCCAAGGCCAAGAACAGCAACTCCAATGCTGCCAAGAAGAGAGGCACCAATTTGAGTTAACACAGTGACCAACTTATTTATGATGCCCGTTGTGACATTTGAGCCCACAAGTTTAACAGCCACTGCACTGGCTGCAGATGTAGCTTCTCCCAGGATGACAGAAATAACCTTTTGTACCAGTGCAATTTTCTCATTTTCCCTTTCCTTAATATCCTGAAGTTTTCTGTAAAGGGTTGGCTCTAGTTTATCTTTTAGTGCTTCATCAACCTTTTGCAGTTCCTTTTGGATTTTTGTCATGGCTTGGATAATGATATCACAGTTTTCTTTGATGGTTCCGTCTCTTTTCATCTCAATGGCATCCAGCCTGCACCCCAGGTGCATATTTAGAACTTCTGTCAGCTTATTGGTGGCATAGAAGCTGTCAGATAAGCAGTCAAGGAGCTGCTGGTGAAGGCGGTTTACTTCCTGCCGCCTCCTTGGGTTCTCTGGGTAGAGGAGGTCACTCTGAGCCATATTTCAGGTATGAACTGAAAAAAAAAAAAAATCTTCATTAAAAGTGTTGAAAAATGTGGTTGGCACTGTGGCTAAGCCTCCAGCTGTGGCTGCTGGCCTCCCATATTATAGCTAGTTCGTGTCATGGCTGCTCCTCTCCTGATTCAGCTCTGCTTATGGCCTGGGAAAGCAGTGAAAGATGGCCCAAGTGCATGGGCCCCTGCACCTATGTGGTAGAACCGGAAGAAGCTCCTGGATTCTGATTGGCCCAGCTCCAGCCATTGGAGTGAACCAGTGGATGGAAGACCTTTCACTCTGTGTGTGTGTGTGTGTGTGTGTGTGTGTGTCTTTCTCTCTCTGTAATTCCCTCTCAAGGAAATAATTTTTTTTTAAAGTGCTTAAAAAGTTTTGAAAAATATCTGCTATCTTTGTAGATCTGACTAGGAAATTTTTCACTTTATGCATATGAGGGTGGCAAAATTCTTTCCAAGGAATTCCTCAGAAAATTCAAGTTTTTTTTTTTAACTGATTTCCATGAAACTTGGAGTCAGTGTATGGAAAATGTAGGTAACAGACTACAGTCCATTTATGCATAAATTAAGACATTAGATTTTTGTAGTGGTGCTAAATCTAGATAGCAAATACTCATGTTAATCAGGCATCTGGTTAGTAAACATGTTTATTTCCAGGTAATGGGTGATAACTTACTTGTAACAGACTCCAATTAGAAATGATTAGCTCTTGATTACTAATGCTTCTTAATTTCCTCATCCCCTAATTACCATACTGACTACACTTACCAAATTGGTTTCTCAAAATGGAGTCAGGCCAGAAGAATATTAAGATCTCTTTAGTTTATAGGGCTATTAATATTAAAACTTTGTGTTTATATACTTTATTATCTTAATTTTAGATATTCAGATCACTTTCTATCTCTACAGGGAAACTGTTTTCTAAACCTAGAGACAGCCAAAGACAACACACATAAGAATCTAACTTGACTTCAAACTACTTCTGTGGAACTGATTACTGCTAATGTCTAAAAAAAAGAAAAGTAAAGGCAGTTAGGTTACAAAGTAATAGAAAAGTAAACATAAAAATAACATTCAGTTTTCCAGTTGCTAGAGGTAAAAATCCTGTTTAAGTTAGAAATAGTAAATCTTGTAAAAAATGTAAAAATCTCAACATAAACTGCTTATTGTAGCGTACATGATTTTTTAGAATAGATGCTATTAGAATAGATGCTGTTCTAATATTTCTAAAAAATTTAAAGGGACAACAAAAATTTGCTACCATGTTTTTCTCAAAAACAAAAAGCAGGTGAAACCAAGAAATAAAGATATAAAATTGATGAGAAAAGCACCTCCATGTAAGACATTCCATTTAAAGCTTTTCTGTTGGAGATGCTACATTTTAATCATAGTAATGAGAATTGAAAAGCTGAGTATTTCTCTGAGATTTGGCTGGCAGCTCTGAGTCAAATGTTTGATTAGGTTAAAACAAGTATCATGTATTTCTTCCTTGTTCATATTTTGTGTTTTAAATACTTTTGCTAGTCCAGAGTTTTACTTTTTTGTTTTTTTGTTTTTGTTTTTTAAAGATTTATTTATTTATTTATTTAAAAGGCAGAATTACAGAGAGAGAGGGAGATACAGAATGAGATCTTCAACCTGGTTCAATCCCCAAGTAGCCACAACAGCTGGGCTGTACCAGGCCTAAGCCAGGAGCCCAGAATACTATCTGGGTCTCTCATCTGGTTCTTCCACGTGGATATGGGGGTCCAAAAACTTGGAGCATCTTGCACTGCTTTCCCGGGCACTTTTAACAGGGAGCTGGATCTGAAGCAGAGCAGCAGGCACTTGAGCCGGCACCCATATGGGATACTGGCATTACAGGCTGTGGCTCAACTGGCTATTCCACAATGCTAGCCCATTGTGTTTTACTTTTTAATGGTGTTATTTTTATTACACAAGAAATACACATGCTGTTGTAGAATACAGTAGCAATAAACTAATAATCATAAGTTTTATATACACTGCTGCTCAAAGGCAACCATCAAAAATGTGTTGGCTAGGGCCGGCACTGTGGTGTAGTAGGTTAAGCCTCTGCTTGTGGCGCTGACATCTCACATGGGCATGAGTTTGTGTCCCAACTGCTCCTCTTCCGATGTAGCTCTCTGCTGATGGCCCAAGTGCTTTGGCCCCTGCACCCGCGTGGGAGACCTAGAAGAAGCTCCTGGATCCTGGCTTCAGATGGGCCCAGCTCTGGCTGTTGCAGCCTTTTGTGGGAGTAAACCAGCAGATGGAAGACCTCTTTCTGTCTCTTCCTCTCTCTGTAATGCTGCCTCTCAAATCTTAAAAAAAAAAAAATGTTGGCTGATAGGTTTCTGGATGTATCTGTATGTATGTGCTTATGTATGAACACAAATGAAATCACACTGTATGTATTGATGGGTATTTATGTCAATAAATAATCACATGGTAAAATATTGGTTGTGCTGGGTATGTGTTTGAGACTGGATAAACATTTCATTTGGGGAGAAGGTAGACAATGTGCAGGGGACAGTGCAGTTGTTACCATATCTGTGACTCTTTGCAAAGCTTATAAATTATTTAGAATGATCTATATTATACTTTGCCATTATTAAGCTGCAGTTAGCATCAGAAAGAACAAAATGCCATTTTCTAAAAGTTTTACTAAGTATCAAGAGTATACCATAGGGCCAGTGCCGCGGCTCACTAGGCTAATCCTCCGCCTCGCGGCGCCGGCACACAGGGTTCTAGTCCCAGTCGGGGCGCCGGATTCTGTCCCGGTTGCCCCTCTTCCAGGCCAGCTCTCTGCTGTGGCCAGGGAGTGCAGTGGAGGATGGCTCAAGTGCTTGGGCCCTGCACCCCATGGGAGACCAGAAGTACCTGGCTCCTGCCATCGGATCAGCGCGGTGCGGCGGCCATTGGAGGGTGAACCAACGGTAAAGGAAGACCTTTCTCTCTGTCTCTCTCACTGTCCACTCTGCCTGCCAAAATAATAATAATAATAATAAAAAGAGTATGCCATAAAATGAATAAACTTCTTATGTTTTATATCTGCAGCTTATAGTTTGATTTAGAGAAAAAAAAAACAGGCCTTTCTGAGTTCACTTGGGTGAAAAATATGTTTGTGCCCAGTAACAATGATATGTTTCCTAATATACAGAACTTGATTAGGCATTCTATATACCTGCCATTTTTATTTTCTGTTAAACTCTTTAGAGAAAATGGGCTCCTATGTTAATGCCAGTGAGTAAGCAACCCATCCTAGCACAGTCATTCTTAGTCTGGATATGAGAAAGTCTAGATATGAGAACCTCAGAAATGTGGGATGAGGGAATGAAGATGTTTTTCTGTTAAACTAAACATGTAAATGATCTATTCGCCACATCATAAAGATATACTTAGGAAGTGGGTGGAGGAACATACATTTTTAATGGATTAAGAATATTACTATGTTAGATTTAGAAAAAATGTACTGGAACTTCTGTTATTATCCTTGATTTAGATCCAGCACACACATGTATACACACATACACAGAGACAACAGTCACAAATTTCATTTTCTGATTCTATTCTACTTAAAGAAATTGCTTATTGAGGATCTAATAAATGTTCTTCAAACTCACTAAAATGTGATTTGTACAGATTTTTTTTCTTCTAGGAATTTTCCATTAAACTTTTCTTTTTCTTTATTCCTGGTTTTCAGATCTTACCATGAGATGGAAACTCTAGTTTCCGTATTTCAGTTCAGAAGACAACTGACTACATCCCTCTATGGATTTTTAGGTGAGAGTAGTTTTTCTTATCCTGAAAATGTGGACGCCATATCTAGTGGCTTTCACATGCCATTATAAGAAGGCATAGCTTCCAAAAAAGGACTGTTATTCTACCTCAGGATAAGCAAATGGAGATATGAAACTTCCTTCTTGAATGCTTCCAAGTGAGCAGTTCCTTTTCAATTAACTTTATATCTTAATCGTCAAATGTATCTGAAACAGGACAGGCTATGTGTTTTCTTCGAGAAAGTAATGATGGGGCTCCTCTGTCTCCACCATATTAAAATACCATAAAAGCACACTATTAAACAGTATTCAGGTACTGAGCTGTTTTCTCACCTCCATTAAAGTCAGGAGAAAGATAATAGCTGAATTTCCCAAACAGGCTGGTTTCAACAGTGTGATAGTGAATTTTCCTCTGCTTTAATTTCATTAGGAAAAAAAAAGTACCCTGGTGTTAGCCAATCAGATTATTTTTTCATTGTTCTGGTTCCTTATCTATGCCTTACAAGGAAAGTGACTTTGAAATGACCAATTTACTTTCTCTGTTCTGTTTTGCTTTCGTTAGGCCTTTTGTCTAGAAAACCAACTTTCTCTATTCAGCTCATTAAAGTGTGCATTTTGTTTTATAGAATGAGCTGCTGCTCTGTTCTAGAATCGCAAATAAGCCAAGTAAGATCTCTAAGCTAAATTTGTTATAACTTTGTCTTTGGACAATTTGTCTTATACGGTAGTATTTTCCTGTGTGTAAGGTAGTATTCTAGGCTCTGTAAAGCATACAGACATGAAAAGGCATGGTTCCTGCTATCTTGGAATTTTGAATCTAGTTAGGGAGTTAAGACAGATTTATAATTACAGTATCCAGTTGAAAGTATGATTTACTATGAAATGACAGGTACTGTTGGTTTTGGAGGATGTCAGTTCAAATTTTGAGTAGTCTTTGTCTTAGTTTGTATTGCCTTATGAAGACATTTGGGAGACATCCTGGGAAGGCAAAGCATCTGCTCCTTTAAATTAATACTTTTAAATATGTGCTTTATAGTAAAGAAGAGATTAAATAATTTGTGGAAATGTCCACCATGGCAATGTGCAGTATCTCTACTTTGGTGCTTAACAGTTTAGTTCTGCATTTCAAGTTGATTAATTCCACTCAGCAAATTCAAAGTCCTGTAATTGAATGGAGTCACCCTTCTTAAAGAGCATGCTTGTTACTCAGGCAAACTCCAAGTGATGTCATGCTAACAGTAGGTGCTGTGCCTGAGATGAGTTCTGGCTTGTACACTTTGCCTTGTCTTACTACATTTTCAGTGCTGATTACCTACCACTTTTGTATGGCAAACTTGAACTTTTACATAATTTGAGTTATCACATGATGATGCTTCCTGTTAGAGAAAATTCGGGTTGAGGAATTACCATCCACTTCAATACAGTTTGTGCCGTTTATATATTTTTTTGTTTACCAGTCTCTGAAATCGATTCTAAGGCGCCCTGGGAAAGCCTGATGGAGAATTACTAACCACTAGGTGGAGCTCTTGATCTCCGGGACTCAACTTCACCAGAGCATTTGCTGAAGCAGCTGTGCTTTCTGTTACTCTGTGCACACTTGGTCTCTGGGCTGGCAGATTTTTTTTTTTTTGACCCGAGTTCTGTTGCTAAACAAAGTCTGGAAATTTTTGACTTGTTATCTCTTACAAATTAGAAGAAAATAACTCTGGAAGTGTTCATATGGAATCTGGAGTTGAGCAGCATGCCTTAGGGAATTAAATTGAATCCAAAGGTAAACTTGAGATGGATTGAGAAGTAAATTTGATTGATGAATTGAGAAGTAAGCACTCAAGGTAAAAGAGCACATGAGAAATGATAGGAATATGAGAGTACTTCAGAAAGTTTATGGGAAAATATAATTAAAAGATAAATTTATTTTTCGGGTGGGAGGGACGTTATGGGGGGGAAGCCATTGTAATCCATAACCGTACTTTGGAAATTTATATTCATTAAATAAAAGTTAAAAAAAAAGACAATATATAAAATGTAGGTGAAAAAGTACAAAAAAAAAGATAAATTTATTTTTCTGCAAACATTTTGAAATCCATAAGTTTTTTATAATATGTATTTTGAGACCTTTTGTATATTGCTGATTGTATCTAAAAGTTTAAGATTATTGAGTGATACTATGTAGTTTTAGTTTCTTAGGAGATAGACTTCCCTAATAATGAAATATATCAATTGTCACACAAATAAAACTTTTCATGATACCTTTGTGGATAACATTACTGCATTGTTTGCTACGTACTAAAGGGTTTTAAAGAGAGAAATTAATATTAAGGTGATAGGAGGAAGTTTCACAGAATGATGTAATTTATGCTTTAATAGATGCTGGAGTTATAACAAATGAAAAGTGAAAGATTTGGTAAACCAAAATAAAATACAGAATCATTATCACTAACGTAAACTTTTTAAAACAAAGCAGGAAAAAACCTATAAACCTACCATCTCAGATTCTTTTGTTCTTTTCCAAAATTTATTTGTATGCATGTCTTTTATAACGTTGTAATAATTAAATAAAATTCACTTTATATTAATTCACTTAAATTTTCCCCATATTGCTAGTTTTGAAAGCATTTTATTAGTTATATAAAGTGTTCCACACATCTTTACCATAATTTACCAAATCCCTAGTTATTTCATTATCACAAATAATGTTCTATTGAGCACTTTGATACACAGAGTTGTTTTCTTCCTCCAACAGCTGGACTAATTCTTTAGGCTAAATAGAAAAATTATATAACTAATGGGAATTAAAATTTTTATTACCTTTGACATATATTGCAAACTACATTATAAAGACTTTTATCCAGCCACCAACAGCATGATACGGGGTCTCTTTCATAGTTGAAGATGGTTCTATTTAAATATTATTGATGTATGAAGCATAAGGTAAAATTTTAAAAAGAAGAGTTCTTACCTTTCCAGAAATACATACTGAAAATGTTAATGGTGAAATGACATGGTCACAAATTTGCTTTTAAACATCTGGATCAGATAGTGGGAGAGGGTTTTTGAGAAACCAAGATTATATTTATATTGACAATTTAAAAAGCTTGAGACACAGAAAAATATAAACACATGTATGTAAACACACACTTAGACACAAATGAACACCACACACAGAGGAAAAAAGAGAGAGTTTCCCATCTGCTGGTTTACTCCCAAATGACTGAAATAGCTGAGGCTGAGCTGAACAAAGCTGGTAGCTGGGGATGGATTTGATGTCTTCATGTTGGCAGCAGGAACCCAATTATTTGAGTCATCACCACTGCCTCCTTGGGTCCTTTGGTGGGAAACTGAGGTCAGGAATCAACCCTGATTGGTTCCAATCCAGATGCTCTGATGTGGGATGCAGGCAGCATAACCACTAGGCTAAACACCCACTTTCTTGTTTTGATAATTTTCACAGCTGAGTTACGGGTACATGGGAGTTTATAAGATCATTGTTACCCTTTCTGTGTATGTTTGAATTTTTCCCATAATAACAGTTTTAAAAAGAAAAAGAATTGCATGATCCTGTCTAAAGCTCTGATGTTCAGTCACTCATGTTCTCTGACGTTCAGATTTCTTCGTGCTTTCACTTTTCTTCACTGTCCAAACTGGGTCCTTCTGTCAGACAAGTTTGCTTATTTGGGAGTGTGGAAGTGATATGGTACACCTAAGTAAGAAGTCATACAGGAGAAAGTGACAGGTACTAAGTAGTTCTGAACTTTCTTTAATTTAAATAAAAATCATGATCTGTAATTAAAAGACAAATTCATCATGATATAAATTCTTTTAAGGATTTTCTCTGATCAGAAAGCAATAATAAGTCTAGCCAGAAAGCAAAATATCAAGATCATTGATCAGCATTTATCAAATGCTCACTTTTGAAGCCTCTATTATATGTCTTGAGGATTTAAAAAAATAAAAAGGTTTATTGCCCTCAAAAGATAATAATGGTCTACTTGGAAACACACAGCAAATACACAATGATGCATTTAAATACAACTTATGAAGGAGTATGAGCATTGTATCTGAACTAGTATTAGATTCTTCATTTGTTCTTCCCACAGGTAAATACAGAGTGTTGATATTAATGTTAACAGCATACAAGGAAATGCCACCACCCAGATAAGCGACCCACATTACACAGGTGTCACTGCATCCTTAATCCTTTCTAATACTGATGTCTTTACTGCTTCTCTTCCCCTCTGTCCTAATCCTAGAAGTTGTTGATTTTTTTTCCTTTCTTCTTTAGAGAAATGATAGAAACATGCCATGGGACCCTCTTATTAGAAAGCTCTTTTGCTACTTTCTTTATGGCAAGTTTTTAGACTGATATGTTATTTCTGTCTCTCTTTAATATTGAGAATCAAAGTGTTATATCAATACTAATAGATCCATATTGCTTACCTTGCTGTGCGTCTGCGTTTGTGGTCCCAGCACTTGTTTTAGGAATACTGTTGTGCTTTTCTATCTGGTTTCATCTGGATGTTTCTGGTGGAATGTGATGACTTACAGGCTTTGCTAGTTTCTGCTGGGTCCCTCTGCCTGTCTGGTTATAGGCTATTTCTGGATGGCATGGTCCTCAGAATTCTTCAATTTCCTGTATTTGTATAAACTTAGTATATACTAAGTAATATAATTTGAAAGACTAGTGAACTAGTGAAACTTATTTTAAACTAATCTGCCGTTTTTGCTAATGAAAAGTGCTGTACACCTGAACTAATTCAGTGCAGTAAAGAGGGGGCTCTTTGATCACAGCTGTCTGGTTTGGGGATTCCATCTTGAAAACTATTCTGTATTCAGTTTGTGTTAGCTTCTGTTACATTTTTATATCTGTCTAATTGCTTTGGTTAGGTTCTCAGGAAATCCAGATATAGCCACAACATGGTCTCTCTTATATTGATGAATGGTCTTGGCAATATAAAATCCTTAAAGACCAAGTTGACTCCTTTCCCTTGAATCTTAGATCAGAGTCTTCTGTGTTTCTTCCGCTGGGTTCTGTCCTAATCTATAGATTTCATTACTGCATCTGAGCGGCAGCCCAAGAATACCCAGTGGGAAAGACCACACCTCTGAGAGGAGACAGTTCTAGTTTTGTGTGCTCTAAGTACCACTTTCTAATCATGTAACTTTAGGAAAATCATGTTACTTTTCTAAGTTTTTCCATGGGTGTAATGTACGTATTAATTTATAACTTACAAGTTGTCGTAATGGTTAAATGAGATAATGCACATAAAGCACTTTGCATAGTGGCTGATATGTGGCAAAAATTTACTAAGTGGTAGCTATTAAATATTTCTGTACTATTAATTAAAAATTTTTTTTTTATTTATTTGAAGAAGAGAGAGAGACTAAGAGAAAGACAGTGGTCTTTCGTATGCTGGTTCACTCTCCAAATGCCTGCCACAGCTGGGGCTGGGCCAGGCCTTGAATTCAATCTGGATCTTCCTCATGAGTGTTAGGGACCCAACTACTTGAGCCATCACTTGCTGCCTTCCAGGGTGCATATTGACAGGAAGCTGGAATGGAGAGCAGGGCCAGGGCTGGAAACAATGCACTCTGATACAAGATGCAGGTGTCCCCAAGTGGCGTCTTCATGACTGTGCCAAATACCTCCCCTTGTTCTTACATTAACAATGATATCTCCTGATGGGAACAGGGGAGGAGAGTGGAGTAGAGAATACAAATCCAGGATGCCTTACAGGAGATTTGTAAAATTAAAAGGTGATGCCCTATGGTGCTAAGAAAGAGCTGTTTTTGTCCCAGTGGATCATTTTGCCTTTGATATATTATAGGGGCCTAAGTGAAAAAGGAAAATATGTGTGGTCAGTGTATCTGAACTAGGTATGGAAAATAAAATAAATAGAATTCCAACAAGTGTACAGGGAGTTGAGTCTGGAGGAGATAATGCAGGTGGAGGGAACACTGAAAGCCAAGGAGCTAGACAAAAAGTTGTAGAGCATTTTCAGGGAACAAAGTTAGTCTACTGTGCAGGTGGTATGCAGTAGGTATGAAGCACTCAAGGAAAATAAGTAATGGAAAGTTGAGAGTGGTTTGTAGAAGACTTTAAATACCACGCTGGGAAATCTCAAACCATTGAAGTTTGTTTTTTTTTTTTTTTATTATAGTGTTTAGAGGTTTAGGTTTTACTTTATATAAACTAGAATAATGATAGGATGATAAAGCAGAGGTTACCAGCCCCATACCTATGGGAGATGGACAAGTTATATCAATCACTTGCCATATTTTAGTAAGTTATGTTTTGTTACTGAAGAGAGTACTTTTGAGGAGTGCTATTTAACCTCCTTTTTCCTGAGGCCATGAAGTTCTACTATTCCTCTTAACTTTTTGACTTAACTACTTTCCCACCACATAGCAGTCTAATTGGAGTTATAATAATTGAGATGTGAGCAGTAACAGTGCAGAGGAACAGGGCTCACTGTTCTAGTTTCTTTTTCAGAATTATCAGAGGAAAAACTAGAAGCAGTGTTGACTTCATACTGAGCCTCCTTGATCATCAGCTTGAACTTGACTAAAGTCAGTATTGACATCAAACCAGTAGTTGGGTCTGACACTGAAGGAAGAGGCACTTTTTCTTAGCAGAGTTCTTAGAGTAGAGGTAGGGAATCAGGAAAGCTGATTGGACAAGTTTGGCTGCTGGGTTGAGGGTGGTTGTGAATGAGTGAAGGGTGGTATCTACAAAGAGATTTGCATGTCGTTTCTTGACAGTTTATTTTACTTTGCTTCCCGTTCCTCTTTGTTTTAAAGTTCACTCCTTTTCCTGAAAAGTTCTGCTCAAAAACATATGTCACTTGACTCTTTCCCAGAATAACTTGCCTGGTTCAATTATGGTAGCTTTGGGGCCAGTGTTGTGGTGTAGTGGATAAAGCTACCGCCTGCAATGCCAGCATCCCATATGGGTACCGGTTTGTGTCCTGGCTGCTCCACTTCCAATCCGGCTCCCTGTTAGTGGCCTGGGAAAAGCAGTGGAAGATGGCCCAAGTGGTTGGTGCCCTGCATCCACATGGGAGACCTAGAAGAAGCTCCTGGCTCCTGGCTTTGGCATGGTCCATCCCAGGCTGTTGCTACCATCTAGGAAGTGAGCCAGGGGATGTGGAAGACCTCTCTCTGTCCCTCCCTCTAACTTTCAAATAAATAAATGGACCTTTAAAAAATTAGTTTCAGCAAGTCATCAGCACTTAGCTATTTTACACTTTAAAAAAATCAAACAATGAGCAGGTGTTGTGGCACAGTGGATTAAGCTGCTACCTGCAATTAAGCTGCCAGCATCTTGTATGAACACTGGTTAGTGTCCTGGCTGCTCTTCTTCCGATCTAGCTTCCTGCTGGTGTGCCCGGGAGGGCAGTAGAGGGTGGTCTGAATGCTTGGGCCCTTACCACCACATGGGGGAACTAGAAGGAGTTCCTGGCTCCTGGTTTTGGCTTGACTTAACCCCAGCCATTTAGGGAGTGAGCCAGTGAATGGAAGATTCTCTATCTCTCTGTAACTCTGCCTTTCAAATAAAAGTCAAACTAAAATATAACCACTTTTTTGACCTCATAACATCTTTTGTCTCTTCTCTCCACCATCGGATTTTCCCTTGGGTAGTGTCTATGCATTAACTGTATGGCATTTTCTCCATTAATTTTTCAATATTTGTACCTAGTTTCTACACATATCCCCGCTTCCTGCACAATTGCTCCCTAGCATCACTAGTAACATCGAAATGGCTAAATATAGTGTTTATCTTATTTGCAACCTTTGAAATTGTTGGCCAGTTCTTTTTTATTATTATTATTTTAAAGATTTATTTATTTACTTGAGAGAGGCAGAGTTACAGGGAGCGAGAGGAAAAGACAAAGAGAAGTCTTCCATCTGCTGGTTCACTCCCCAAATGGAGCTGGACCAGTCTGAAGCCAGGAGCCAGGAGCCTCTTCTGGGTCTCCCACGTGAGTGCAGGGGCCCAAGTACTTGGGCCATCTTCTGCTTTCCCAGTGCATTCACAGAGAGCTGGATCAGAAGTAGAGCAGCTGGGACTTGAACCAGCGCCTATATGGGATGCTGGCACTGCAGGTGGAGGTTTAGCCCACTATGCCACAACACTGTCCCCCGGCCAGTTCTTTTAACTGTGTTCTCTATGGGATATGGGATTCTGTTGGTTCTTTTCTTTTCAAACATCCCTTCAACTTTTATACATATATATTTTTCTTTACTTGTATGTCCATTAAATATTGGTGTTTTCCAGCTTTCCATGTTTAGCTCCAATTAAAAAAAAGGGTTTTTAGGGGCTGGTATTGTGGCACAGTGGGTTAAGTCATGTTCTGTAATGCTGGCATCCCATATGGATACCATTTTGAGTTTTGGCTGCTTCTACTTTGGATTCAGCTCTCTGCTAATTGCCTGAGAAGGAAGCAGAAGATACCCAAGTGCTTGGGCCCCTGCCATGCATGTGGGAGACCTGGATGGAGTTCTAGGCTCTTGGCTTTGACCTGGCCCAGCCCCTGTCGTTGGGGCCATTTAAGGAGTAAATCAGTGGATGCAACATGGATCTCTGTCTCTTTCTCTTGCCCTCTCTCTATATAAATCTGCCTTTCAAGTAGATAAATAAATCTTTAAAAAAAGTTTTTAAACTTTTTTTTTGGAGGGGGGACATGGTGGGGGGGGTGAGAAGGAGAGAGAGAGAGCGCTCCCATCTATTGATTAATTCTCCAAATGTCTGAAACACTTGGGGCTGGGCCAAGACCAGAGCTAGAAGCTGGAATATGATCTAGGCCTTTCATGAAGGTAACAAAAACCCAATTACTTGAGCTATCACTGCTGTCTACCAGGGTCTGCATTGATGGGAAGCTGGAGTCAGGAGCCCGATCAGAGCATTGAACCCAGCACTTTACAGGCTAAATTGCTGCTCATATTTAGTCTCTATTACTCTATATATTCTCCTTGAGTGATTTAACTAATTTTCATGGCTCAATTACCACTTATTTGTTAATATACCCTAAATATGTAGGTACCATTCAATATTTTTCCCTGATCTTCAAATACATACCACTAACCAGCTTTCTAGACATCTCTGTGTGAGTGACTTGTGGTATCTCAAGAGTTATGAATAAAACATATCATCGTGAGCTTCCAATCCACTCCTTCATGTCTTAATTTTCCCAAACCGAACTTTTCACATATACTTGTAAGAACTCAAACAGAGATTCCTTGTGTGATTTTTTTCTGATTTTCCTGAAGGTAAGACCTTGATCATCTATGGTATATATCACACCAAGAATATTGACTTTTATATAACCTACCAATCTATTCAATTTCCCTGGATTCATTTTATTCATTTGTATATGTATTAAGTTCTATTATATTTTATCACCTGTGGAAGTAAATTTTGACCACAGTCAAATGACTACATGTTCTAACAACATCACAAGGATCCTAGCACACAAGTGTGTCTTGCTAATATTTCATTTCTTTTTAAAAATATTTAATT